AGTTATAATTTCAACAATACCCGCGCCTCTGGGATACAGCTGATGTATATAGTATAGTCAAAACGAACGGCCTCGTGCTTGGGCGTTATCCACGAGGATTCAGAGAGAAAAACGTTTCACAACGGATGTCTGGGTATTGCATTTATGGTTTTATTGTAGTGAACATAGTTTCCAAACGACAATTTTGTCAAAGGTCGTCGTTTTTGGGCCATCTAAAAAATAACTATTTCGACTGCCGCATTTGTGCATTCGTATAAGATTTCCTATTTTTTTCTTTTTTTGGCTTTTCACAAACGACCTCGGCGCCATGCCGTATGCTAATGTTATTTATTACCGTTTTCGTATAATATAGTCTGTCGGATTTGCACTCTGTCGGCCCAATGAACTGTGTATGGGTCGTGCCTTTCAACCGTTCGACCCAATTGGTCGTCGGCGTTGTACAATATATTCTTCCGGCCGGTCAATCCCGTGGAAAGCTTTTTGCGATGAATTACCGCGTGGCTGGTCGGTATATATATATTTTTAACGATAATATTCGCTTGATATCCTGCACAAGATAAAAAAAAAACGACAGCTACTACATTCGTTCATACCGAACCGTCGGCGGTAAAGTGTGAATACTATTTTACACGGTCGCGCGCACTTACTGGTTTTGAAAAATTAACACAACCCGTCGCTCGGTCTATAGTCGTTTACACGGACGGCGACACATCGAGATGTGTACAATGTATATTGCGATTATTTATGACATACAACATTTTCCCGGTTCTTTCTCGGATACCGTTCACGAGTGCGAAAAAATAAATAAATGCAGTATAGAAATATATATATTTTTTTTAAATTGTTTTTTTCTCTTTTTAAAGTTTTCCGTCCTATTCCACCCGGCGGTTTCTGGTACGTAAATAGCGTACACGCGACGGCAACCATTGCTATTCGGTCTCATTTATTATTTATCGTCACTTTCGTATTTATAAGTTATACGACGTGTTTTTTAATGTCGGCTTCGACCATTCGCCTCTCTCAGAAATACCTTCTGTGTAGGTATACGTCAAAGTATGTCTTACAGGCGACCAACGCGGTCTACACGTCCATACGCTGATAGCTTAAAATGCTCAGTGGACATTTTAAATATATTATGTAATTGAACACGAATATCTGCATTAGTAATTAAAGTGTATACCTACATAGTATTATGTATAATTCTTCTAATTTCAACAGTTTTTGTTATTGGTGCATTTGACTAGTATATTAATTGTATATATTATGACAAACGACAAATAGTGTATTTTAAGCGTTAGGCAACCTTGCCCTAATCTATTTATTCTTCTAACCATTCCAATTGTGTTAACAAAAAACTTCTCCACACTGATTATGAGAATACTGTAGTGTTATGTGTAAGGTACAATAAAAACAATTACCTAAAAAATATACTTCTGTGAATGTTTAAAATAACCATACAGTAGTTACCGGTTTCGGTATAGTCGTCGGGCTACTTCGCAGGAAATACTAATTAAACATAATATAGCAAAAAACAAATAGCGATTAGATACCATGCGCTTGTTAGTTACTCACTAACGAACCGAAATGGTATAACTTATTTAGTTAATTATACTATGCACACACCTAATATCTAAATGTTCCCAAGTAAACATTGTTCAGTGCTAATATTTTAAGTATCATTCCCGTTAATTAGCATGCGATAACAATTCTATTTGAGATGTTTGTTTAAAGCCAGTAGTCAGTACACAATATACTTGTACAAGATTATCTATAATAATATTTAAATAGTGCAGTTGGAATTAGTTAAGGTGTTTATAATTTGTATACAAAATAAAGTCAGTTGATATAACCTTTTGTGCTTGGTTAACGTCACCGTAATTAGTAACCGGACTTAATTGCTAGATATATAACCATATATCCACCCATATTCACCACTCATTCCACACAGTTTTCATTTGGAATTCTTTGATGATATCCTATAATAGAAGGTATTGGTACAATGATGCAATTTTTCTGGGAATAAAACGTACACATACTTAATACATAATGTATACCTGCGGCAGTTAAACGCATGCGTACGCCCGGTCCCGGGGGCACACGTAGGTATAATGTATAGAGATGAAAAAACTTAAACTATGTACAACACACGCGCGCATGATATATTTTATAAATATATACACTGCATTTTGAAAAGCCAACTGTATAATATAACGACTAGCTTGAAAACTTGTGTACTTTGTTGGTCGCTCGTACTTACAAAACGGCGAAAAGGATCCTCGTGGTCGGCAGGGAATACGACCCATTTAATACCCGTACCGGGGCGCAGAGTTATTTATGAGATACCCGGTGCGTTCGAAAAGTAAAAAAAATATATATACTTTAGAAAAAAATTATATTTCATATTATTTTCGTGGACTTTTCCGCCCGCGGTCTATCATCGTAGCCAGGTCGTTTTTATCCTGTCTTAACCGCTGGCCTCGACAAGTGTAGGTATGCAGGCTTTCTTGAGTAAAAGAACGTATCGGTGATGTTTCTCGAAAGCAGCGAGAATGGACATATATATGTTGGTGTGTGTGCACTAAACCCCAGTAAAATGTACAGCAGTGATGGACACACAGAAACAATCCACCGACATTATCCTCTATAGCTATTACGGTTAACATGTCTTCCATTAACCCCTAACCGGTCTAAAGATTAATGCTCACATTCTGAAATCATCGTAGGCAACCTGAAATTAAGTTTGAAAAGACACCTATTGGCTATCTACGTTGTATTAGACTGAACTGATTTTTCTAAAAAAAGTGTTTTTGTCGATAGGCGAGTCTTGGTCTCAAATCCATCAAGTGTAGGGTCAACAGTTAGGTTAAGTTTTATTTTTGATTTTCGACCAACAACAATTGTTCAATCTTTTTTATTAATGCGGTACAGAGGATCATTTATTACTCTGTTATGGTAGACATTGCAGTTTATTGCAAGTAGTAAACAATGATAAGTATTTACTTGGTTTTTGTGTTATGCTACTAATCATTATCTATAGTATTGCGGAATCTTAAGATACTATACGGCATGTGTTAAATATACAACAAGAACAAAAAGCAAATAAATTAATAATTAGAATTTGTAATCTGTTTCAACTCTTGAGTAGTTAGTAAAAAAAAAATTAAACCTTAGCTTTATACACACTCTAAAGATCGCCAAATCTTTTCAGACATCCAGTACGGTGTGTTGTGGATAAGGTCCGGGAAATAAAGTTAAATTAGCGTACGTTTAAGAGCGTAAAACGCATTGCGAATACCGGAAGTTTGTACATTTTTTTTTAATGTCACGTTCTAAACTTAGTTAGCGTTTCCGACAAAAAGTTATGAAGGGCGCACACGAGATCCCGTTTCCGGTAATTCACCTGTAAGTAGTTCAACGCCCGCGACGAAGGAACTCCTGCTATTTTTTTAGAGCACCTCGTCAACATCAAGAAGTCATGTATACTTTTTAGAAAACAAAATGCGTTTAAACGATTTTGGATCGTGTCTGCTCTGTATGACGTGTACACCAAATTAAAGTTGCGAAACAACATTAGAAAAAAAAAAAGAAGAGTTCAAACCTCGACGGTGGCATGCGATTGTGGCGATGACGTTCAGAATCGTTTGAATAGCAACCGGTAGTCGACAAAATACTTTTTGATAAGATGCCACGCCGATCGCATTTGTGTGTAGGTAGGTATTTATTTATGTTTGTGCGATAATGCATGCGGCGCAACACGATTAAACGGCGTCAGAGGTTAATGAAAACGGTAAACCGTGCGCGGCTTATAATGGATGATAGATTATCATTATTATTATTATTATTATTAAACAGGTACGGTCAAAACCAGACGATCGGTCGGCCTTGAGCCGACCACTCCGGGTCAACTTCACTTGGCGATAGTGTTGCCTATGCCGGGCGTGTTTGTGTGTATAATATAAGACGTTTGAATTCGTCTTTTATTATGTTATTATTATTCGAAGTATAAAACTGTGTACGTGCCCGAAAACGTTGCACGGTTCGCCTTGACACTAGCCCGGTCCAAACCATAAGCCCATCGCGAGTTGGAATTTTGTTTTTTTTGATTACACAAAGAACAATATTATTGGTAAAACTATATCATACAATCTCCATGGCGGCAACCCGTTTTGTTCGTTTTCGGTTTTGTCCCGTCTCGAGGCCGCTCAGATCCCACACAAACGGACAAGTGACGACAAATCCGTCGATTCGTTCAAATAACATATATTACTATTATATTATATTATAGTGTGCAGTGTAGGTATAGGTATACTCGTATGTAGCAGGTGCACGGCACACAGCATGCATGCAAATGATTACAATCCACAAAACGCCGGCTAGGTCGGCCGCCGAAACTAGTTCAATGTCGTGTGCGGCCCTACTAGCCGGTACCACGTTGTTTTCTCCTGTATACATTTATATGCTATATTATAACACAACATAATATTAAAATGTAGTATTACGTTGTCGTCCAACGTAATGTATACAGAATAATGAAAAACTGCGCCAACGTCGTTTTTGAAGTCCTACACGCTTTCGACGAAAGTTTTATAAGCCTCTAAACGTGGTTAATGCCGTACAACGGGTAACGTTAACGGGTCATAAACCATAAGGAAAGACACGCAAGTACCAAATCGGAATGTTATATTAACAACAAAAAAAGTAATCCTTGCACGAAAAAACAAACCTATCGCTACAAATATCAGGATAATAATTATACTAACAATTCAAGTTAAAGAATAATTAACCACAGAATAGATGAAAGTTGGAAGATCGCTTTCAATGTAAACAAAAAAAGTGACGGACTATTAATTAATGTTGCATGTTATATTCTCAGGTTAATACACACATTTTTTTTTGTACTAGCTTTATCATGATTTATTTTTTTAGTGCAAAACTATGTAGATAAATACTTTTTCAATTTAAATATGCTCTACTACTATTTATAATAATTTTTCACTTACCGTTATCGCGGGTCTTCGGGTACTCGTCGGACGAGGATCATTTTGTGGTGAGTTCGTTTATCAGCTTACATGCGATTTTCATCCTGCCAGCCATCTATGAGCAAAGTCAGTGTAATTTCATCTGGAAAACACATTGTAAATGTAATATTATCGGCAAGCACGTTTAATAAGTAAATCACACACTCTATAAGTGAACCCACACAAAAGTCACACTCCAAAAGTGCAATAAGTTCAATCGTTTTTTTGTCGGCGGTTTGGTATTGCACGTTTTTGGGCGATGCTTTGGTAGTAAAGATCGTACAACACATTTATGGCTATGAATAGCCTGCAGTTGTCAATTACTCCTAAGGCGACCCCAAAGGAATTAACGTAACAGGATTAAACATTTTGAGAACGGAATGGAAACCCCGTTGCAGAAAGGAAAACTTCATTATTTCGGACAAAAGTAATGACGCCGACAATACTACCCAGGGACCAGATGACGGTGAACAAAAAATACATTTATACCTTGGAAAAAATATATACATACAAAGTACCAACGCCTGAGAGGCGTACATTTCAGTCAAAAGCTTGTTGGCTGATAACGTGGCAAAAACAGTCGCATTGCTCGTTATAGTTCTTACCTGACTGCGAATCAAGTTAATGAGTTGGTTAATTAGGCAAGCAGACTACAGCTGGAGTCAAGCCACGTGCAAGCAAAAAATCTAATAAATATTTAATAGAGGTTCTTATTTCATAATATCAATTTTTCTCCCATTATCTATGATTGAGGACACAGAAAGATACATAAAATGCGCGCACTTACTCTGTGTACATATTCGGCGACAAAACACCACATTGACTTAACCGAATGTGTAGTCTATACTGTGGATACAATGTAGGTTGTGATGGGTTTTAAATTGCTTCTCATATCGGTGATAAAGCTTTAAATACGATTAGCGGACCAATGTAATTAATGTAATCGGGTGTAATGTGTTGTATACTTAGTTTACATAATATATACTGTATTATATACATATTACACAACTCATAAGCAGTGCACGCGAGCAGTGGCCACTGGCAACATGGCCTTATATCGCCTGTGTATGCAATATTGTGTGCCTCCGCCAAGCCCTGATAATAATAATGTGGTGTCGTGTCGCCATAAAATATACTAAACCAGTAGAAGAATACGACTTACACATTTATTTTCCGAGCTTTGGCTTGCTAAGTCTGAACCCTTGGAAATCATTATCAGTAACGTTCATTCCGTATGGTATCATTTCGGTTGTAATCACTAAACTGGTTCTAGCTAGTTTTGGAGTATTCACTGGCAAAATCGTATTCACCTTTATTGAGTACCTTCTATACTAGCACAGAAAATCCTAGCAATATACCCTATATAAACACCTATGTAGGAATAACATTTAAGTCGAAGGCATCTTACATAGACCCAATGATATTCCTGCAGTTTCTTGACCCAAGACTCGTTTACGAAGAGTATACTATCTCGGCAGAAAATCTAAATACCATTAGAGTATATCATTAGCGATGCCTTTTTTATAGGCAATAAAGTTTGATTATAATCTTGTTTGGTACACGAGGATACACGATATATACATTCTTCAATTACAGCTTTTTTATTAGCCTCTGGGATATGTTTTAAATGATTTTTGTTAAATTTAAAACAGTTGAATTTTTTTAATTTCTGCACTAAATTTTTCAACGATTAATGCCTACTGTTTTTAATTCTCTAAACAATGAACCGTTTTCTGCATCTGTTCGCGAACGCGTATGAAATAATTGGCCATCTCTGTATGGACTATTCATCGAGAAAACAAGCTATACATTTATAATTGATACATTGATCCATTTATAAACCGTCCAAAGAAAGATACCGAAATGTATGCTTTTGTTGGAACTGTATTGGGTATAATAATTGGGTTTAATAATAACAGAACTCCTGATCGATTCCTAATAATTCGACTAATGAGCGCCATTTTTTTTTCGTGTCAGACAACATAAAACAACATAAACTATAAATAAAAATAAATACCAAAAAAATAACAATAGGATACATAAAATTAATAAATAAATAAATAGTAACGCTAATAGTATTGTGGTAATATATAAAATTGTATAAATAATATAATATAAATCACAGTATGTTTTGGTATTGTCATGGTCGGTTAATTGTAAAATCACACAGTGTTCGCCCAGTATTGGGCTACGTCAATGGCCTTTTGATTCGCATGTATAAGGTCCTTTTCGGAACAAGTGTGTGTGCTCTCTGGGCACCTAAGTAAGTGCACCATGCTTTGCTCTTGGCCGCATGAGCATGTCGTGTCTTCTTCTCCCAGTAGTCCCCATTTCTTCAAATTGACTGTACAGCGTCCTACACCAGTTCTAAGTCTATTCAGGGACTTCCATATCTGCCATTTGTTCTTATAGCCAGATGGTAGAGTTTCTTTTGGTTGTATCCATTGGTTTTCGGAAGTGACTTCCTTTCCCCATTTGTCGAGTCTAGACTCACATGGTGTTTTGTTTAGCTTAATAGTTCCTTTTAGAAAACTATTACGTGACCTGAGCCGGTTTTTTGGGATTATAGATCCATGCATGACATGTTTAGTGTCTGTTTCCATTTTTGTTCTTTCCAAATCTGCTTGTACTGGTCGTCTAATATGAGGTGCGAGCTATACCGGCTAGTATATACAGCTTTTCGATTGGTGTGTTTTTTAAGCATCCCGTAATTATTCTACACGTTTCGTTAAGGGCAGTGTCCAGTTTTTTTGCATGAGCTGAGCGACACCATACTGCACTCGCATATTCTCCCGTGGAGAAACATAGAGATAGCGCTGTTGTTCTTACTTCATGTGGTTCAGCGCCCCATGCTGATCCTACGAGCTTTCTTAATAGCCCGTTCCTTGCATTTACTTTGAGCTTTGTTTTTTCGCAATGTTCTCTAAACGTAAGTGATCTATCTAAAGTTACACTCAAATATTTTGGATTTTCGTTAATAACAGAACTCCTGATCGATTCCTAATAATTCGACCAATGAGCGCCATGTACTGGAGTGTTTTGCGTCGTACACGTGGATTTTTGCGGATTATCTATAGTAATAAATAATATAATAAATCGTTATTCAAATCATTGCAAGATTCGAGATTTGACAGCGGTGATTACAACCGTATGGGCGACCGCCATAGAAGAAGCAATAGAAACGTGTATCGTGACCGCGCTCGTGTCAATGTACGTGTATGGAGACACCTTGAACATGTATAGGCTGTGCAAAACATAATATACTCGACAGTTTGGCGCTTGTATTGAACCTAAAGCGTGACTTTCACGTGGTGTGGGTCGTCACGATAACACATACCTTAAAGCAAAAGAGATGAACGCGTGCACAATCTCCCTCGAGGTCGCATTTCCGACGCCGTCTAGTTTTGAGTAAACTGAACAGAATCAAATGAAATAGTTCAAAAGTAATAAACAGTTCAAGATACACGGCCGTTGACAGAGGAAACGCAACGCTAATGAAGAAGATATTATAATCCACAGATAAATATAATGATCTAGATTGCTAGCTCGTGATAAGAATGGAAGTCGACGTCCGCCATTTTTGTGGGATTTATGTGTGTATAGACTATAGACACGATGTAGAGAAGATAAGGTGACGCCACTCCAACCAAATCAGTGGGTCAAGAAATTAAGGCATTTTGGTAGTACAATTTTGTCACGTAGATAGCGCCACCATTCGTCCGGAGGCCGACTTTTACATGGAGCTAATAGGGTTTTTTACATATTATTATACGTTACTGTCATTTTTATTGCTAAATAAAAATATATTACATATAATTTAATTTTAATACAGGGCTATAGATTATATATTATTTTAAAAACCACAATATTCGTATATGTAGTCTAGGGACGAAGTAGAGACATATTCTCTGCATTGTGTTCCTAGAGATGATATTTGCTTCACAAATAATTGTTTATATTTTGTGTCTACATAATAAACCGCGGCATCTATAATTATAAAATACTGTTGTTCTTATTCATTTTTACAATTAACATTAATTGACTAATGTAGATCTTTTGGATTTATTGGCAATATTTGCTCCACTATAGTTTTATTCTATTACTCTGAACTAGAAATTATGACCATGTATACTAATGACTAATTAGTATTGTAATACTACTTTATATTAGTAGAGTAGCTAAAATAATAAAATAAATAACTGTGCTGGACAAAGACTAGATCAGAATGAATTTAATTTAATTAATTATGAAAGCTATATTCCAGTTCTAATATTTACTTTAATGTCGGGGGTGCTGTGTCAGTAGGTTTGGGACGCGAAGTAACGGTCAGGTGAAATATGATCGTTACACCGTTAAAAAACACAGTTTTCACAATTAAAAAATTAACAAAATAATTACTTATTACTAAATAAGACAATAAAAATAATAAAAACTCCAAATAAAGAATAATTAACATAAAAATAAAAAATAAAACGTTTATCGTCCATAAGCCGCATAGAAAATATCGGCCTCCGGGCGAATGGTGGCGCCGCCTGTACAGCGAAGCTGAACTACCAAAATGCCTGAAGCATTCGACCCCAGATTTTTACTGATAAGAAGTTGAGTAGTGTCACCTTATCTTCTCTACATCGTGACTATAGAATAATATGTATATCTATGATTCTGCGTTATCAACTTAACTTATAACTGTTATAAACATATTTTCATGTGATAAGGTTCTAATTCCCATAAAATTGCGAAAACTGGCGAAAAATGGTAACTTCAATTATCTCTATTGGTGGCATGTACACTTAGCAACCTAGTTTATTATATATGAATATATATATATATATATATATATATATATATATATATATATATCTGTGTTATAATCTTACTGATTCTAGTTTGTATTAGAAAAATTATTTAGCTAATATGGTCCACCTACTATTTGTTTTATTTTAAAGTCATAATGATCTATATCTAAAATGTATTACTCGTTAAGATAGGGGCAATCTAGGTTTTCGGACATTTATTTTACCACGTTGGTACATTGAAAACCACCTTATTGCATAATTATATTAGTTGTGCTTGCTGTGCAACACGGTACACTCTGGGCAGGCC